TGGGTCATAGAGGATTTTGCTTTGATTTATGTCATCATGTGTTCTGCCCATGTTTTCCTCTAAGAGTTTTATAGTTTCTGGTCTTACATTTAGGTCTTTAATCCATTTTGAGTTGATCTTTGTGTATGGTGTTAGGAAGTGTTCTAATTTCATTCTTTTACATGTAGCTGTCCAGTTTTCCTGGCACCATTTATTGAAGAGGCTGTCGTTGCCCCATTGTATATTCCTGCCTCCTTTGTCAAAAATATGGTACCCATAGGTGCACGTGTTTATTTCTGGGCTTTCTATCTTGCTCCATTGATCTATATTTCTGTTTTTGTGCCAGCACCATACTGTTCTGATGACTGTAGCTTTGTCATATAATCTGAAGTCAGGAAGGTGGATTCCTCCAGCTCCATTCTTCTTTCTCAAGATTGGTTTGCTCTTCGAGGTCTTTTGTTTCCATGTGAATTGTGAAATTTTTTGTTCTGGTTCTGTGAAAAATACCATTGGTAATTTAATAGGTGTCATGTTGAATCTGTAGATTGCATTTGGTAGTATAGTCATGTTCATAATATTGATTCTTCCAACCCAGAGATGTGGAATCTCTCCATCTGTGTATGTCGTCTTTGATTTCTTTAATGAGTGCCATAATTTTCTGTGTACAGTTCTTTTGTCTCCTTAGGTGAGTTTATTCCTAGATATTTAGTTCTTTTTGTTGCAGTGGTGAATGGAATTGATTCCTTAATTTTTCTGATTTTTCATTGTTAGTATATAGAAATGCAAGTGATTTCTGTGTATTGATTTTTCTATCCTGCAACTTTGCTAAATTCACTGATTAGCTCTAGTAATTTTCTGATACTATCTTTAGAGTTTTCTATGTACAGTATCATGTCCTCTGCAAACAGTGAGAGGTTTAATTCTTCTTTTCCAACCTGGATTCCTTTTATTTCTTTTTCTTCTCTGAATGCCATAGCTAGGACTTCCCAAAACTGTGTAGAATAATAGTGGTGAGATTGGGCACCCTTGTATTGTTCCTGATCTTAGAGGGAATGCTTTCATTTTTTCACCATTGAGAATAATGTTTGCCGTGGGTTTATATATGGCCTTTACTATGTTGAGGTAGGTTCCTTCTGTGCCCATTTTTTGAAGAGTTTTTATCATAAATGTGTGCTGAATTTTGTCAAAGGTTTTTTCCTGCATCTATTGAGGTAATCATATCCTATCTTTCAAATTGTTATGGTGTATCACACCGATTTTGCATATATTGAAGAATCCTTGCATCCTTCAGATAAACCCAAACTGATGGTGGTGTATGAGGTTTTTAATGTGTTGTTGGAATCTGTTTGTTAGGATTTTGTTGAGGATTTTTGCATCTGTGCTCATCAGTGGTACTGGCCTGTAACTTTTTCTGTGTTGTCTCTGTCTGACCTTCTCTGTATTTTTCATTTCAGTTGCTGTGTTGTACAGCTTTTTGTTGGTTACATTGTCTAGGTCTCTGTTAAGCATGTTGTGTATGTTATTGGTCTGTTCTTCCGTTCTTTTTCTGAGATCTTGGACCATCTCAAGTACCATTACTCTGAATTGTTTTTCAGACAGATTGCCTCTCTCTACCCCACTTAGTTATTTTTCTGGGGTTTCATCTTGTTCCTTTGTCTGAGGCATATTTTTCTGCCATCTTATTTTTGCCCACATATCTGGGTTTGTGGTCGCCGTTTCCCAAGGCAGAGCTGGAATTCTTGGCTCTGATGTCTGCCCCGTGGTGGGGGAGGTTGGTTCAGGGTCTTCTGCAGCCTTCCTGGTGGGAGGGGCGGGAGGCTGCCCTGGGAGGACGTGTCAAGGGCGTGTGTTGGGCAGTTGCGGTTTCAGGACGGCTTTCGGCAGCCTGTCTGCTGCTGGGTGGGGCTGTCCTCTTGCTCATTATTTGGCCTGGGGTGTCCCAGCGCTGGAACCCGCTGCGTAGACCAGGTCTCAATGCCAGACAGTGACCTCTGGGGCGTTCGCTCCAATGGGTGTTCCAGGTCCCTCTGCCACCCATGTCCTTGTGCCCAGAGTGAGCCTCAGCCGCCCCCGCGTCTCCCCGAGACCCCCTGGAGCAGCAGGCAGGTCTGTCCACGCTCCTGTGGCCTCTGCTTTGCTGGGTCAGTGCCTGGGAGCCCTTGTGGGCCCTCTGCGAGTGGAGTCCCCAGTCCCCCCAGTCCTGTGGACTCCTGCACTCAAGCCCCGCTGGCCTTCAAAGCCAGGTGCTCCGGGGGCGGCTCCTCCCAGCGCCGGACCCCGGGCTGGGGCGCGGACGTGGGACGCGGGACTCTGACTGTCGTGAGAGAATCTGTGATCGTCCTCCAGCGTCTGGGTCGCTGCCCCTCCCGCAGCAGGCGTGGGATTCGACTGCAGTGAGGAAGCGCCGCTCCTGGCCGGCGCTGCGGCTGCCGCTCTGCCTGGAAGCGCGGAGTGTGTCAGTAGGTCCAGTCTTGCAGCCGATGCTTGTGCGCAGTTAGCTGTGACTTTGGTGTTTCCGGGAGCGGAGGTGAGCCCGGGCCCCTTCTGCTCTGCTGACGCTTCCGTGGCTGCCGGGCGCAGGGCCCCGGGGACAGGGAGCTGCGGGCCGAGTCGGCGGCCTGGACGCCGGGTGCTCCTAGTGTCCTGTTCACCTCGCCTGACGTGCCTCCCCGGGCGCTCTGAAGGCGCCTCCCCCAGCGCTGACCTCAGGCAGCCCCGCGCGGCAGGTCTCCCGGGCGGCCGCTGTCCCCAGGCTGGCCGGCCCCTCCTGTGTGCCGCGGCCTCATCTCAGCGCAGCCCCCGGGAGTCAGACACTCCGGTCAGGACTTGCCCTTGATGGCCGGGCAGTCAGTGCAGAGAACGTGGCGGTGAACACGTGTTTTCTTTGCCAAAACACTTAGAAACCCCTGGACTTCATACGCCCCTCGCAGGGGGTTAGCAGGTGGGAGAGGTTCCTCAGAAAGTGGGTGTATGTTCGCTCCTCCCCGCCGTGTGGCGCGCTGCTGAGGGGACAGCCGGGGCGTTCTCCGCCAAAGCTCATCTCGGGTGCTGGGGGCCCCAGAAGCCCCGAGCGCAGCGCCGCGTGGAGAGAGCAGGCGGGAGGGGTCGGGTCGGCCGCGGCGGTCCCTGCCCTGGGGCAGAGAGAAGCCAGACGCGACTGTGAGCCCGCGTTCCCGCGGCTCGGACGGTGGAGGGACCCCTGGGGTGAAGGTCCAGGCAGCCGTGTCACATGGGGCGGGTGCATCCCGCCGTGATCCCCGGGTGTGCGCACGACCCGCAGCAGGTGAGCTGTCCGTCGTCTGTGACGCCGCCCCAGACTGAGCCCCTGAGGACAGACTCGTCCCGCAGTCCCTGCTGGCGGGAGCTCACGGCGGAGCTCTGGGGGCTGGCCTTGGGCACTCGGGGGGCTGCCTCATCTGCAGGCCTGACCAGGGCTGCCGGCCGCTTCCAGGCTGGCTCATCACTTGCCCGGAGCTGCAGCTGCTGCGGAGCAGAGGGTGGGGCCACTGGTGCCCCGGCAGCCGCCTCCCAGGACGGGCCTCAGGGGGGCGGCGAGGAGGGGCCCCCACGCCTCCCGTGGCCTTGTCACAGGCCGGCTGTCCCCTGCGCCCCGTCTCGGGCAGGTCACCGGGGGGACCTGGGGCGGGAGAGCTGGGGCGCAGGGGCGCGGACAGGCCGCCTGCCCACCCCCAGGGCCCTGCTCGGCGCCCCGAGGAGGGTGGCCCACGTGTGGGCGCCGTGCCCCCTGCAGAAACCTCCGGGGCAGGCCCCTCCGCGGCAGGCTGGCCTGGCGGGGGCTGCACCCTCAAGAGGGGCTGGGTGTGCCGCCGGGGCTGTCGTGGGACTAGCCGGGGCTCCGGGCTGTGGCTCCGGGGCGCACGCCCTCCCCCGGTCCGCTCTACTTGGTCAGCCGTGTCGGGCTCCCAGGGGGGAGAGGCCGCAGGACAGAGTGGAATCGCTGCATCAGAACCCGCTTGTCGTCTGGCCTGAGGAGTGAGGCCCTGCAGGGTGGAGCGGGCCCCGGGGCGCTGCGTCTGGACGCGGGTTTCGGGGGAGCCTTGGGCGGCTTGCGGACCCGGGGGGCTCTTGTGCGCGTCAGCTGCAGAGGCTCGTCTGGCGCCTGTTGGTCCCACGGGAAGCGAGGGTAGAGGCCCTGCGGCGGCCCCTCCCACCGGGCCCCGCCTGGCGTGTGCCCTCGGCCGGCGCCTCACCTCCTGGGGCTTCCTCGGGAGCGAAGGCCCGTCCGTGACGGCAGGGGCCCCGGCCAGGAACCCGGAGGTGGGAGTGCGGTGCTCCGCTGACCACGCCCGTCTGAGCACCCCTCCGGCGGTGTGACGGGGGCGCCGCGCTCTGTCTCCAGGCCGCCAGCTGCCGCTCCCAGGGTGGCTGCTTCTCCAGGAGGCCCCCTCCCGGCCCTGGGCCTGCCCTGCTGCCCCTCGCTGGCTCAGCCTGCCCCCTGGGGTCAGGGTCTCCGGGGCGGGGGACCAGCCCCAGCTCAGCCCAGCCTTCCTGAGCCCCCGAGCCTCTGGTCTGTAAGGAGCGTTCTCAGCCCGCCAGCTTGGCGGCTAGCATAAGTGGAGAGCAGGTGGAGCGCTGACTTGGCGCTGGGCGCTTCCTCAGTGTAAATGTTAGCCTTGTTCTTTCTTTTTTGGTAGACTAAGCTCTTTAAAAAAAAAACTCTTCTTCCTCTTTTTATCCCCAACACCTGGCACAGTGCCTGGGACATAAGTAGGTACTCAGTAAAATGTTTACTTGAGTCAAATGAATCACTTTTAGCATAAACAGATATTTCTCAAAATTTCTCGTGTCCTATTTATTATCCCCTAAATAAGGTTTCGCCCTTGTTTTGACATGTGTGGTCTTTTGGAGGAAGAGCTGGAGCAGCGTTCACACCCAAGTGGGGTGGGGGGGTGCTCGTCCACTCCGGAGCCCTTGGAACCTTCCTGGGATTCCCTCCCTGGGTCCCCAGGGAGGCTGTAGGGCCAGGCCGTTTTGATGATCCAGACATGCTTTCCTCCCAGATTCTCAGAATCTGCACCAGGTACACCCCAGAGCAGGACACCATGACGTTTTCGGACGGACTGACGCTGAATCGGACCCAGATGCACAACGCTGGCTTTGGCCCTCTGACCGACCTAGTGTTCACCTTCGCCGGCCAGCTCCTGCCGCTGGAGATGGACGACACGGAGACCGGCCTTCTCAGCGCCATCTGCCTGATCTGTGGAGGTACCACCACCCAGAGCACCCTCGCGAGAGCCCATGGAGAGCACTCACACTCGTAAATTATGGGAGATTCTTCACCTCCACTTGGGAGTTATTTTGCATGGAAAAGGACATGTGGATAAAACTAGGCATGCATGCTTAGAGTTTGTTGCATTTTTCCATATTATTATAAGTTAAAGGCATTTGGGGTTTTCCTGCTCTGAAATACCAGAATGCTTCTGCATTGCCACAGCTGCTGTTTGAAAGGTAGGATCAGACCCTCTTAGCGTGACTTGCCTGGGGATGTTCTGAGGATGAGTCAGGGAGCCTGCTGGTGCTGCTTGCCAGGGCGGGGGCTGGGGGTTGGAGGCCTGGCGTGATGCCCTCACCGGCCCACAGGAACCCGAAACAGGGTGGTTAAGGAGCTGCTGCCTTTAATTGGGGGCTGGTTTACCTGCATTTTAACCATCTGGGTCAGGTCTCCTTTAATTCAGTTCAGTAGTGACACCTCCTGGTCACGAGCAGTAATTCTCTGCTGGGGATAAAAGCCACCAGCCTTCCAAATGTGGTTTGACCAAGGACAGTCATTTTCAAGTATCACAGCTTAAAACGGGCGTGTGTGCACTCAGTCACGTCCAATTCTTCTGTGACCCCTTGAACTCTGTCCTCCCAGGCTCCTCTGTCCATGGGATTCTCCAGGCAAGAATCCTGGACTGGGTTGCCATTTCCTCCTCCAGGGGATCTTCCAGACCCAGGGGTGGAACCCGTGTCTCCTGCGTTGGCAGGCACGTGCTTTAGCACTGAGCCGCCAGGGAAGCCCAGATCAGCTGCGCTCACACACCTTCAAACGTGTTTATGGGGTCGAGTCACCAGATTATACGAGGAGGCGGGGGCGTGGGCAGGGCTCGTTCTGTCCTGACCTCAATTGTTTAATACCTTGCTTCTGGAATCTAGACCGCCAGGACCTTGAGGAACCAACAAAAGTAGATAAGCTACAAGAACCACTGCTGGAAGCACTGAAAATTTACATCAGAAAGAGACGGCCCAGCAAGCCTCACATGTTCCCAAAGATCCTGATGAAGATCACAGACCTCCGCAGCATCAGCGCGAAAGGTACGGCCTGTCCGCACCCAGTCTTTTTAGAAACCCTGGGTTTTAATGCTGGGCGTTTGACAGCCAGGTACCTTTCTGTTATCACTTTGGAATTCATTTTTCATTCAAGTCAAAAGGAAGGGTGCCTCCTTTTAAACCTCATACCTTAGCCCACGCAGTGATTTTAGCAGATTATGAGAATAGCTTTACAGTTTCATGTGACTTAAGTGATTAGAAAAAGCATTTCCAAGAGAACATACTGAATACTGGATGACTGGCTTTGTCATTTACTCGTTGCATACGCTTCATTCCAGCTTTCCGCACACACTCCGGTTTGTTTACACTTAATTCCAGTTTTTCCTGGTCACCCAAACCCCAAGAAGAAATGAGTGGTGCTTCAGGTGCCCATTGGGGTCATGTCTGTCTGTCAGGCTGGCCGCCCCCCTTGGGGCACAGGCGGGTGCGCTTGTGCGCCCCTGAGACAGGGCGTTTTCTCCCCGGAGAGCTGTGACTGTTCCTGCCTAGCGATTCCAGTCTGTAGGGCAGCTGGGGCGGTGGCAGGCGTGCATGGAGCCACAGGCCGGCTGCCCTGGGGACCAGTGAGCAGGGGGCGGGTCCCGTTTCAGAAGGTTCTCAGCAGCACAGCACTCGCGTCTGACCAGCAGTTTGGGCCCCCGCGCCCTTCTCGGAGGCCTGGGAGGACGTGGAGAGGCCTCCAGCGCCAACTGCGGGCGTGCTGAGGGCTTGGACTTGAAAGCTGCCGGCCCCGCCCCCGCTCCCCGCTCGCCCGGCAGTGCTCACGCGTCGTCCACACGTGGGGCTCAGGCGCTTGCGACGCGGTCGGTGCCGCTGAGGCAGTTTTCCGGGTGGTAGTTAGCGTGAGGGATTTTACCCGCGTCTCCTGCCTTGCAGGCAGATTCTTTACCGAAGCCCTGCAGTGTCCAGGAGCCGCAGGTACCGCGCGGCCCCGCCTGGGGCTGCTGGCGGTCTCGGGGGCCCCTCAGGTCCTGGCCCCGCTCCCGGGCAACTGCTGTCCTTTCGCTGGCTCTCTTCGAGAGATGCTTCCAGTCTCTCAGCAGGAGCTTTTCTTTGTCAGTGCCGCTGAGTACACACACCCCCGTATTGTTTCTCAGAACTGGCTGAGTCTGGAGTCGATCACATGTCCCGTCCTCCCGTCTCCGCTGCTGCCCGCAGAGGGAGCAGGAGTGTCTGAGAGGCGCCCCGAGCTCCCCCACCATGAGCGGCTGAGGGCGGACCCGGGCATCCCTCTCTGTCTACCGGCTTCTGTTCTCTTTCTAAAAGGTGCGGAGCGTGTAATTACCTTGAAGATGGAAATCCCTGGCTCGATGCCGCCGCTCATTCAGGAAATGCTGGAGAACTCTGAAGGACACGAGCCCTTGACCCCCAGCTCCAGCGGGCACACGGCGGAGCCCAGCCCCAGCGTCTCCCCCAGCTGCCTGGAGCCCAGCGGCGTCGGCCAGTCCCCGCTGCTGCAGTGAGACACTTTCTAGCTACTCCAGCGTTCCCCAGTACCTTCACTCCTGGGATTTAAAATGCAAGGAAGAAACATTTTTACTGCTGCTTAGTTTTTGGACTGAAAATATATTAAAACTCAAGAAGGACCAAGAAGTTTTCGTATGTATCAATATATACCCCTCACTGTCTAACTTACCTAGAAGTACAAACTTTTTAAATTCTAAAAATCAGCCATTTCATGCAACCCAAAACGAGTTAAAAGCTTCTGTTTTCCTCTTTGAACACGCGAGATTGCATGGCAAAGACCCAGTCCCCACGGTACACCCTGGCCGTGTTTCCGAAGACTCTGTACATACAGCGGCGCGGCTCTACGCCTTTCGTGTCCCACTCCAGGGAACCAAGGCCCACGGTCGTGGAGCGGATTACTGTGCGTGTCCAGTTAAGGGAGGGTCAAAAGGATAAGTGTTTTGCTTTCACAGAACAATCAAGACATCCAGGTAAGGAAGTGGAGTATTGTAGTGTGATGAGATAAGGCTAAAGATACTCTAATTCAGTTAGTGTAGACGCTTGTCCTTGCTCTCCGATGCTCTCAAACTGCGTCTCTCATTTCCTGTTGCCCAGTAAATGTATCCAGATTCACTGCCGTGAGCAGAAGACTTCTCTATCAGTGTAACTGCCAGTTCAGTTATCAAACGTCATTTGTTCAATTGTTGATGTCACTTTAAATTAAAAATGGTTTAATACTTGTTTAATGACATAACTACACAATTTTTTTAAAAAGATACATTTTTACAGTGATAGCCTCCAAGGCAGCAACACTATTCAGTGTTAAGTTTTTGTTTACCTGTTCACAAGCCATCACGGAGGTTCCATGGGGTGACGACGGGCCGGCCTGCCACCTGCGCCAGGTAACTCTGTGTCCTGAGAGGGAAGGGCTGACCCCCCAAGTCACGGGCGGACAGTCTGCATCCGCTGGCCTGGGTCAGCCGCTATGAAGCAGGGTGGAGTGGTTAACAGATACAAGTGTCAGTTTCTTAGGTCTCATTTAAGCACTAGTGGAATTTTTTTTTTTTTTGATATATTAGCAAGTCTGTGATGTACTTTCACTGGCTCTGTTTGTACATTGAGATTGTTTAACAGTGCTTTCTATGTTCATATACTGTTTACCTTTTTCCATGGAGTCTCCTGGCAAAGAATAAAATATATTTATTTTAAAGGTGTATGGGAGATTTTACTGCACATTCATCTTAGTCAAGAGACAGAGAACACAGTTCCATTTTTAATGTTTAAATTTCATTTCAAAAAGCAGGTCTGTAATCTGCAATCATGACAATTAAAATCTGTGCTAATGCACAAGTCTATAACAATTCTACAAGCCAATCAGACAGTACATGACATTTCAATGAGTAAAAAAGAGCATAAAACTGTATGTGTAAGAACAAAATGTTAAAAGGCCTACCACAATAATAAAAAACCATCAATTACATCATCACATTAAAATAAGCCAGATGTACAAAAGTCTGAGACAGAAAAGACAAAAGGACAACACAAGTTATCTGCCGAGAACTGTTTCTGTGCTCTGTGGGCACTTAGTTAAACATTGCAAAATCAACATCTTCTTCCTCATCAGAGTCTGCAAAATATTTTACTTCCTTCCTCGCCCGGCCGGTCCGTGGCAGCGACGGCGGCTCGGCAGTGAGGTCTGAGGGGAAGAGGTCCACATCTGAGTCCTCGTCAAAAGAGGTTTTCTTCGGCTTCTGGGTTTGTTTTTTTTTTTTTTTAAAAAAAAAAAAATAGAAAAAGGACTAATTATTCCTTCACTTATTTGGGGACATACTGAAAATAATGGTTCTTGTAAGATCAAAACTATAATGCTAAGTTACTTAAGTGTGAGGCCCATTACCTAATCCTCTATAATATTATTTACCACCATAAACTTATGTTACCCAGCAACTATGCACAGAAAAGTAAAAATTCAACTTACTGCTAAGTACCTATCAATTCATGAGAAGACAACAAGACTGCACAGTAGGTTGTGCACAAGGTAAGTTTATAAAAACGCTGAGAACGGTCACCAGCAAGGACCACAGTCCTAGCAGACGACTGGGTGGAAAAGGTCAGTGTAAAGAACACCACACAGCTAAAGGCATCTGTTTGCATTTTTAAGTTTTAAAAGGGGGGCATTTGATGTTATTAATTTACCCAAAAGAGACAGTGTACTTCTGGAGAAGGGTCAAACTAAAAATGAGTTCAAGTTAGAAAATCAAATTGGTCCTTGTCAAATCAAGTTGCAAAAAAGAAATAGCTTTTATTTGATCCTGAAAACTAGTATTTCAGTTAAGGAAGCATGTAACTTCTGCCATTGGAGGAAATGGAGTACTCTTAAGTAGGCTAATTTATGTGACACTTGTATCTAAGAGATGGTCCTGATTATATAAATTTTATACCTAGATAACTTTTTAACCATAAATAAGCCCCCTGTGGATAAGAGATGCTGGGTTAAAGCTATAACAAGACATCACAGTAATAAGCAAGCTCAGCCAGTTACACATCATCTTAAAACCGTACATTAAAAAGATGCTATTACCTTGCTGGGTGGTTTGGAGGTCTTCCTGCCAGGATTGTAATCACCTTCGTTTTCAGAGCCAGATGCTTTCCTTTTCTTTGCCCCTCGGCCTTTACCTTAAAATGATACAAAGCGGTTTTTCTCCCAAAATTAAGTACAGGATAAAAAGATAAATGCCAGAACACACTTTCCTTCTTTGGGCATGCCCAACTGGCCCTGCAACCCTGATCTCTTAATATGACTGATGCAGAAAAAGTCTGTCACCATCACTTAGTCATGCCAACCCCAGAACATAAGAGTATTTCACAAATACATTTAAACTAATGGGAATGTCCTAGTGACAGATTTTAGTGACCAAGCCCCCGAATACATAAAACATCTGCACATCCCGTGGTGCCTGGACCTGAAACAAAAATCTTAACAGTATGTGGTGTTTTGTAAAAATCAGTTCCTAACTTGCCACAGACCAGTACTTTTAAAAGTATAATGTGAATCACTAGGAAAGATGATATATATGGTTTAAATGCTTCCTCTAAATTTTACTTATCGCACTAGTAACAACCAGTTGCATATCCCATTTTAAGCAGCACAATCCTAAAGTATCACCCCAGCATTAGTCATGGGAGCACCTGTCAACTCTCCACATTCCTTCTCAGATTAGAATCACCCCCGTGTAGCCTAGTTTTTTTCATCTACCTCATTCTCATCGGAGGAGGAAAGCGAAAAGGTAAAATATGAATGGTTACCAAATGTTCCTACAGTGACGCCAGAGACAGAAAATGGCAACTCTAACTAAATTTTTTACAGTTCAGGAGTTATGGCTAGACTGTATGGTAAGGAAAGATTGCTAAATGGCCTTGGGACGGCACTGAATGGGTCCACTTCCCATGCCCTTTTCTCCCCGGCCCCCGTTCCCCCTTGGGGCCAGGTATAATCTATGTATCTCCTTACCCCAGTCACCACTTTAAGAAATAGACATGCTGACGGCAGTATCAGAACAGCTACCCTTAGAGAAACCACGTCCTACATAGAAAACACCACTGATGACCACAGCTCCTCTTCCTGGAGAGGAATTGGTGCTGTGCCCGGGAGGGGCCCTGAGGACAGCTGTTTCCACTCCCGGATGAGGATGGGGCTCTGCCTGCCAGTCCTTGCTCCAGCCTCCTGCAAGGAGTCCCACATTTTAACAGGAGCCCTCACCCCTTTTAAGGAATGGCTTCCAGTGAGTCCCCTGCAGGGGGTCTTTGACCCATTCTCCGGTTGCAAGAAAGGTCTTTGTTTCACAAATCAAGAAATTGAGACTCAAACTGACTGGACCAAACTGCTACATACTTGCTTAGGATTCTAATTGAGCACTGATCCTTAGAACATTGTTTACTGAAGAGTAAAGCTACTTAAAACAGGTACCCAGTCTCTCTAAACTCAATGAGTCAAGAAAGGAACACTTTGCACATGGAATGTGCCAAAGATAGTTACACAAAGATTATCCTCACCTTTTGGTGCTGTTTTCTTTGGAACACCGAATTCAGAATCCGAGTCAGAGTTCACAGACTCTACTTTCTTCTGTTTGGGGGCCCTCTTGGGCTTAGGGGCTGTATCTAAAGACGGTCTTCCTATTAAACAAATATCCATTTCACAGATCAATGTAATGTACTCAGCAACAGCCCAAGCTGAACTGAACCCCACAATGACGGGAGTTCTCACTGATGTGGAGCTGAGCGACCTCAGGTGATGAAATGGTTTCTCTCACCTGCTGCCAGTGCAAGGCAAATAACTGCTCATAGGGGACAAAATGCTTTCTATTATACGTAACTTACCTTTTGATAATTCAAGTGACGTGTTAAACCAGGGCCATTAAAATGAGTGAATGAAGGCGAGAATAGGTCACCCCCATCCGCCTGAGCCAGAGCCTCAGGGCGGGTGGATGCTGGCTGTGCTGGCCTTTAACACTGAACTCTTGTTGGGTTTCACAGGAGTGAACAGCTTGAGGAAGGCAACAGGCTGATCACTGGGAGGGGAACTGGCTGCACGTGTTCAGGGTTGCTCTCAGATGTTCCATCAAGACAGGATGCTCGCAAGGAAGCTGAGGGCCTGTCTCGGTCTCAGCGCCCCAGAAGCCCCCTGACCCTCACGCACACTGCAGTTAGGGCTGTCTGGGAGGCGATGAGGGCAGCTGCGAACGGGTAGGGTGTGGAGCCTGGCATCACTGAACGGTTAACCGCACGAGAAATCTGACAGCCGGTATGAAACCAGAGTGAGCTAGCCTGAGGGCAGGAGCCCTGAGACCCGCGCCACCAGCCCGCCCCGCGACCAGTGTCCGGGCACAGCAGCGCTGGAGGAGCTCCTCCCGTGAAGAACGAGAGCCGAGGGCAAGCGGGCGAGAGGCCCGTTGGCCAGACAACTTCTCACCGCGGTCCTGGTGTGTGCGGAGGAAGCAGGGCCTTTCTTTGCCTCTCTGCCCTCTGATACATGTGTGTCTACAAGGGTGGGATGTGTGCCGCCCTTTTCAAATGCTAAAGGTACATTCCAAACTGTTTACTGACTTGCTGGCTAAGTAGTGAAGCTCTTTTAAACATGGAGCACTAACTCTGACCTCCCCTTCAAGAGATGTGCCTTAGTGCTAGTAACAGATTCATGACTCAACTCACATCAGCCTGTTGATAAACAACCTAAGGCTATGGAAAAAGAGACGCTACCCGACTCACAAAAAAGGACCCCATAAAGCGACCAGCGGCTCCATGGGACGGGTGAAGGCAGGCCCCAGGTGACAACACGACCAGCTGCGCCAGGCCAGTCTCACTACAGGAGACCTGTACTGGAAAGCTCTTTTGATAACAGCACATGTGATTATAAGAGCTTTAAAATGAGATCTGACCGACATTTTAATAATTACCTCAGTAGTTGAGAAAACCGGAGGGATTCTCTGTATGTACATTTATACATTAGAGCTGTTTTCTATTGAAGTACTAGTGCAATTCGTTTCAAATTGTATTAAAGTTCCTTTAAAATCAACTATATATAAAAATATCAACTATATATGACTACTACGATGCTTGACAAAAATAAATATAAGTACATACCCTTTTTAGCAGCTACTGTTTTACTTGGAACTTTTTCTGTTTGCTTCAGACCAAATGATGGTGAAAATACAGAAGCAGAATCTTCTTCATTACTGTCAAATTTAGCTGAATCTAAAAATTAGTTATTTTTTTCAGTGAAGAGATTCTATAAGGACCACTAAGTAGTTAAACTTTATTTTTACTGATGACATCTCTAGCTAGATAATAAATCTTTATATTTTGTGATCATATAATCCACAATATACAAACAGCAGAAATAAAAATATTACAATGTTGTATTTCAAAAATGTTAACTCTGTAAAACCACATAGAAATGCAGAGTAATAAAAATTCTTAATACTCCCAAATGCTAATCATTTAAAACTGATCAATTTAAAAATACTGATTTTAAAATGAGATATTTAATAAAAGTTCTCACTGTGATTATTTTAGTATATACACAGCTAATTAACCATTTCAGGAATATCAATAACATTCAACATTTTTACATCCTTAAAGTTTAATTTAAAAGGCAAGTAGGTACCTTCAGTTTACTTTTACACTCAATTTAATCGGTTTTTCCCTCCATCCTTCC